GAATGTTCATATAATGATCTGCAATAGTTAATTTTAGTTTATTAGTTGATTTATATTATGCTTTCACTTGGAGAAGCGAGCGATTATAATATATGCAACACCAGCTGATACAAAGAAATTGTCAGAATAGACCAACAAAATGTCTCATTGCTCTGAAAGTTTTTCAGAGAGGTAGGACTAGTACTGCCATCAATTGAAAATTTTTCGAGATTTTTTATTTCAAATCATATTGGTAAAACATACCATGTTCACATGTGCCCCCTGTTCACATGTGCCCCCCTCTCCCCTATTCGTAAAACTTTTACGTAAAATCATTCCTAGACTAATTGCAAATATTCTAATGTAACATAAACATTTCTCGTGAGTTCTAAGTTAAGTGGGTTTTATAATTGTCTATTTGCGATACGAATGTATTTTATTGACAATCCATTTTATCTTAACTTCAATCTAAATTGCAATATGGCACGAAAAAAGTAAGCACATATCACATTATTGACTAGTAAAACAACTTTAACTTTCCCTTAACTAGCATTATCTTTTTCGATATCCAACATTGTTTTATGTGTGCTTTCCGTAGTTATAAACAAACAAAAGGTTCTTTTTGGTAAAAAAAAAATAGTATTATAGTGACAATATAGCATGCTAACATGCAGTCCAATTAATTTATTGCTTGTTGTTCTCGTTTCCTCTCTTGCTTGCATGCATTTTCAAAACAATATCTGATTTGACGTAAACTAGTTTAATGTGTACAAATTCAAGGATAAAATAGCAGATTTGGGGAAAAGTGGACAGTTATTTTATTGATCAAGCATTATTTTTTATTCATGACTTTTTCATTAAATAAAATTGAGTATTAGTTAGCGATGAACCATTATATTTAAGAAAATCATCATCATTAAAAAAATAATGGAGGTAATTCTTTTTAGAGTGTTTATATTGCTTAAAGCATTCGAATATATATAGTAATATCTAACGTTTGTTTGCTAAATATAGAAGCCGCTTATTCAAGTATTCTCTCTGTTACTTCCATTTAAATTTTCAAATTTGTACGCCAGCGGACCATTACACTTTGATATTCACATCTTTAAACTTACCCGGTATTATGCATATACTTTCTTTGTCTGACGACATAACTAGAGAAAAGAATTTTAAACGCTTTCTCTTTATCATCAACTGAAATCAACTGCCTTTTTTGTACCCATTATTCTAACAAATCTGAAACTTTTATTGTCCAATTTGCAATGGCATTCCTACCTTGTTCAAGTTTTTTGGTAAAAATACGTGAAATAAATGAATCTACTGGAAATCGTTTGTCAGGAGTTTTACGAAAAATTACAGAGGGCAAAAAAAGGGAAAATTTCTTCAAAAATATTCGCAAGAAACAGTCGTTTTACAGAAAAAGCAAGTAAAACTACGTAAATTATTTCCCACCTCTTAGCCTTCAAGCATTTTGTGACATGAAACCGATTAGGACATTGCATTAGTGTGGAATCCTCTCGACTTAAATATAATCTGAGACAATGCATCAGACACCCAGTTTTTGACATGGGAAATTGAGCCCCGGTCTGTGCCGGCAAAGGCGAAGACTCAACCCACTAGACCATTTGGAAAACTACTTACTCATGTAATCAATAACAATGCATTGAAATCTCAAAAAGAAAGTCCTTTTTGATGAATGTACAGAAAGAAACAAGCTTCTGTATCTCTGTTAACAAGAAACTCGTTCATGTGTTAGTTTAATCTTTTATAATTGAACGAAGATTCTCGTTTCTCTCATTTTTAACAGTGCAGTTAAAAGAGAAGTTCTTTAAGAAAGTGTAAAAAAACTTTCATATTTCAACACAACAAAACAAAAGTAATATTTGGAACAATAATTGAATGAAATAGTATTCATGAATTTCATTTTTTTAAGCAAATAAATAAATAAGTTAAAGAGACACATTTTTATTCTCTTCCTTTTAAAACAAGTCAGAATTGAATGGCTTTTTTGCATAAAACATCATAATTCCCTTTTTTATGAAGAAGCTGAAATGGTGCACCTTTTGGATGAAAGATTGATTGATAATTTTTTTTTATCAGAATTATCTTGGCTGTTTTCTTAAACTTCATTTCTGTTTCATGACCCAGAAATGAGGATTAATGATGATCCAAACAATTTATATGAGAGTGAACAAAAGACTTCTTTTTGTAACTGTCATTACTTTACTTGCGTTTCACACTTTCAATGGACTCCTTTTGCTTGTGATACCGTCAATCAATTCATTCAGTTTCCTCTTCTTAATGCATGCTATCAAATTCAAGGTGAAATTGATTTTTGTGTTTCAATGGAAACAAAATGTTACAAGTAAAAGCAAATCACTCTAAAGTAGATAGATAAAAAAATGACTTGAAAAAAATGATTAGAATGAATAAAAGTATAAATTGATGAAACTAAAGTGAGGTACAGTGTGCAAAATAAAAACCGGTCCGTTTTTAATATCTTTTGATCATAATGTTCGGATCTTTACGTTCTAGGAATCAATCTTAATGGTTCAATGGGGTGACCTCAGATATGCTAATTAATAAATACAGATGATATTTTAAATTGTAAAATTAGACACAAAAACGTACTTTCTCACAATAAACATCCCTTTCTTCTTCAACGGATTCGTACTTATAACCCCAAAATATTGCGAATAGCCGCAATCTGGGAAATATAATCCCCATAATTTGTTCAAGAGAGGGATTCAAAGTTTATATTCCTTGATTTTAATTTTACTTTTTGCTTATTTCGCCAATCTTGAGAACTTTCTGAGCGAATTGAAAATTTTTTGCACAGTTATAAAATTTGTTCATCCAAGCATAATTCCATGCAGGAAAGAAATCTTAATAAATATTTATAATTCTTTTATTATTTTATTAAATAATAGTCGAAAAAGTTAGAATTGTGAAGAATAAAAAATTTTGCGTCACTTTAAAGTACATAATTTTACATGGCAAAATATTAAATTTGAGCAAAATCGGTTGAATATTGCCTGAGAAATTATATTTTAAATATCTGACTGTTTTGAGATTCAGTTTCTCAGGAACTATTCAACCAATTTTACACCAATTTTGTATTTTGTAAAATTACATTTTTTAAATGATGCAAAGAATTTTATGCCTGACAACTCAAAATTTCTTTAACCTTTCTTAAATAAAATAATAAAGAATAATAAATGTTTATTAAAATTTATTTTTGCATGGAATAAGTTTAGCTAAACAAATTTTATAGCTGCGTGCAAAAATTTTTCAATTCACTCAAAAAGTTCTTGTGATTGGCGAAATACGTAAAAAGTAAAATTAACATTAAGGAGTCCAAAATTTGGAGCACTCTCGTGACCAAATTATTGGGACTCTATAAGAAACCAAATCCGTTGAAAAAAAGATATGTTTATTCAGAGAAAGAACGCTTTTGTGTCTATTTCCGTAAATTAAAATATCGTCTGCGCATTTATTAATTATCATATTTGAAGTCACCCTATTTTCAGCCATTAAGACTGAGTCCTAGAAAGTGAAGATCAGATCATTCGAACAAAAGTTAATCAGGGTGGTCTGTTTTTTTTTTCTTAATTTTTTTTAGAGCAATGTAGATATTAAAATAAATTTTACAAATTGGAATGATTCAAAGGATTTTACCTTCTCTCAGAAGCTGAATTCCTAAACTCAAGCAAGTGTTTTTAATTATCATTGCACCAATTGTCAGATTGGTGCAATAATAATTACACGACAGATCTATCACTGACAAATTTAACCGATCAATCACTGACCTTAAGCTAGTGGTGAAAATTTTTAAAATGTTAAAAAGCTTTTGTCTTCATTCTAAACTATAATTCTAAGCTGTTTCTCTTAAAATTATTTTATCTTGATTGCAATCACAACGTTTTATAAATTTGAGTGATTGGTTTATATTACATGAAGCAAAAATAAGCAAAAAAGAAATCCTTGAAACAAATTTTCAAAATTTCGTTACTGTGAGTATTCTTTTCTTTTTTTTTTTGTACTAGTCTTAATTTAATCTTCACGCTCATCTCAAAGACCTTCTTTTTCACAAGAGTGAAAATCCTAGTAGTCAGATCAAATAAAACAAGAAATTGACAACTTGAATACTCTTTCTTAGAAACAATTTTATAAGAAAGTTTGGAAGAATTAATTCCTGAGAATGTTGTAAACTATATCAAAAATCGCTATCTTGTGTTGCGTTACCGTCTTATAAATAGGTACACAATACTTTTTTTTCGTTAGAACTTGCAAATCCTCTGGAACGTTTCTACAATATATTTGAAAATTTAATGGAAAATAGGAAGAAAAAAAGTTTGAATAAATATTGAAGAAACGTGCTATTTTAAGTTTCCCTGACTAAACAGAATCATCTTGTATGCTTTTTTGTTTAAACTTTTTGTACATTTCAAATGTTATTTGTTTGTTTGTACAGTTCAAAGGTTAAATTACTAGGATCTTTTCGAGGCGTTTCCTCTTTTTTGTGTAAATCACTCTTTGAGATCGCTATATTGGATATGCAATAACGTAATGTTTAGCACGGTGTAGCCGTTTTAGGCTTTCGTGTCTCTAAACTATACAATCAACTAATCCCTTTTTCGAAGCTTACTTAAAAATTCTCAACTGAAATCGCGTTTTAAAAATATTTTTTAAAAAGGCAATTTTATTTTTAAGTAAAACAAGAGCAAATTTATAATATAAAAATTTATAATTTTGAATAAGAATCTACAAAAATTCGGAGATTACAGTAATAGAGCAAATTAGAGCATCAGAGCTTTCTTCCTCACAATAATTTTAACAAAGAGAATCACTGGGAAGGTTGCAGAACTGGCCGTTCTTGCTCCCAACCAGAGTAGGTTCTGCCATCTGTTGGACAGAAAAAACTAAAACTATGTGTCGTGAATGCATTCTAATGCATTTCTTCAATTTCTTTTCACTTAAAAGAGTAATTCCACATCAGAGGGACAATCATAAATGTTAATTTTTCTGCGATTTTTAAAAAATAAGACTATAATTATAAGACTATATTATTTAAATATTCATGCGACTAATATATAAATTTCATGTTTCATGAGAGGGAAAAAAAAGTTTCGTCATCCAAATTGTATGAATAAAACATCTTTCCTTACGATTTCATATAGAAATATAACAAAAGCACAATTTTCATAGATTGAGCCGTGATAGCTCAGGGAATAGAGCGTCCACCTTCCAATGAGGTGAACCGGGTTCGAATCCCTGCGGCGGCTGATCGATACGACATCCGCATTCGGCTTGTACTGACGTAAAATATCCTCAATGGTGGACAGATTATGGATTAAAGTACCCTTGTCGTCAAGCTAAACGTGGGAGGTTTTCGCGGTTTTCCTCTCCACTAAGGCAAATTTCTCCAAATACTTGACCCGGGAGTTCCCTTGTCTTCTGGGTTGCGTTTAAATTACAAGGCTACTGGGTTGAACATTAGTAGTCATAAACCCAAAAATTGGGTCGGCTGTTCAACGACGGTTATAAAATAAAATAAAATTCTTCATACGTAAAAATAAACTGCCTTAATCTAATATGTAAATAAATCTTAATATGTAAAAATAAACTACCTCAAATCAACGTTTCCCATCTGTTTTAAGCCCAATCCATGTAAAATGGTACCATATACAGTTTCAGATGAAAATGATGGCCGGTTAATGCATCCTAATTGGATAAATCAATAATGTGATATGATTCAGTTCACTTATGTGAAGATCAAGACGTAATTGATTGCCACCAGTATAGAATAAGTAGAAGTTATAAAAATATCATTTACCTGCAAAATGTTTCTTTATGCCTAAATTAAATACTTTTACCTACAATATTTATGCATCATCCATTTTTAGTATTCTCTATAATTATTATTACGTTTTTATTTCGATTAATATTCCAAACGAAAGGCTTAAAACTAAATCTATGTTCCTTTATTATAAAATAATTCCATAAAATTACTTTATTACACAACATTTTGTGATAAAAATACTTAGATTAGTATAGGAACTTATAAAAACTTAAACAATTAATTAGCAGTAAATAAATTATATTACAGTAAATAAGTTATATTATTAACAATATATATAAGTTATTACTTTTTTTAAACAGTGTCCAGTCAATAAATGCAATTTAAATATTGAATAAGAAATCGTAAAGCATTATTAGGAATACAGTTTTCGAACTAAAGCTAAATAATTGCAGTAATTAATTTTAATTTTATCCTAATAAAGACTAGAGGAACTGAATCTGTGTTAATAAATTAATCTTCAATTTTAATGTTTGTTTATTGTTAAGAAATAAAAATCGTTGCAGATGGAAGCAAGACCCTCTACATGCAGTAAAATTCAACAAAACAAATTATTATGTTTGTGAATATTGACTTGCTTTTCATGAAATTAATTAAACTAATAAAATTACATGACTTCGTTTAATTATCATATGGTTATGGTTATTCTATTATTATAAAACAATTAGGTAATCAAAATTTAATACAGTTTTTGATGAAAAACAATTATAAATTCTTTTTTGGATTTTTTATTTTTTATTATCTCATATTCTTAGTTTTTGAGATAAACTGTTTTATATATTATGTAAACCAATTTTCACACCCACATCAATTAAAAATTATTTTCATTTAATAATTGGTTTAATTGCAATTCAATAAATGAGAAATATTTGAGTGACATCGAGTTTTAGTTGTACTACACAGACATTATTTTAAAAATACTAAATCCAAAACCTCTACAATTGCTAAAAGCAAGCAATAAATTGCTTTGAATACTTTAAATTAACTGGAACTTTCCTTCAGCAGTTAAAATAATTTAAAGAAGAGGGATACGAAATGTGCAAGTATCTTAGAAAATGAACCTAACACCATTTCTACTTTACAACCATTCTTTAAATAAGAAATATTTTATTAGTTTTTAACAAAAAATATTTAAAAAGCATTTTGATTAAAGACTTTTCCTTTAATTTAAAAATCTAAATTCCCATATTTAAAATTCTACGTATGGTAAAATTAAGTTTTAAATTCAACTCAATATCGAATTTTTTTCCAGATTCCTATTTTATTTGTTAAAAAATGATATTTTAATGAAATAAAGAAAGCATGGTTTTTTTACTACAAGCAATTATATCAATTCAACCTTGAAAGTTTTCTAATTTTTTATTATAGATTTATATTTCTAAAAAAACTTTAACTTACTATTATAAGCCTTTGTTTTATAAATTAATGCAAAAGTACAAATTTTTATT